AGTTTATTTTTTTTCCCCAGAAAAGACATTTATAGTGTGCCTAAGAGTTATTTATTTATTTATAAGGAATATTTAAGAAATTTATATTGCATTAATTTTGATCGGTGTTCGAGAAATGACGAATTAGGTTTTGAAATCATGATAAGAAATCATTTGAAACAATAGGTACCTAAGTACTATATAGCTACTATAGCTAGGTACCAAATATAGCTTTTAATTTCTGAAATTCGTAAATTTGAAATAATTGGTTTATTTTCCCGAATTCCACACTCACGTTGATAGTTGCTGATATAATTATTTGTGTCTGTTAATACATTTTTTCTTTTAATATTTTACGAATAACATGAAGTCATAATGTACTATAATATTGAAAATAATAATATAGTAATAATTATAATAAATTTATAATGTTTAATCATTATATTATAATATTTATCATGCTTATATAAATATATAATTAAAAATAAAAGATAAAAATTGAATTATTGGACGTTTTTATGTTTGAATTTTAAAAATATTTTATTTATATCTATATCAAACAATGGTCAAGAGTAGCACTCTAATTTATTTGTAATGATTTACAATACATCTAATGAAGTGAAATACTATTCCACATTAGAAATTTACGATTAGCTTACCAATCGAAAATTACCATTATTCTGTCACTACCTACAACATATTGGGAGAAAATTAGTATATTATGATCACTATAGTGTTTATTTATTTATAGTTTATACTATGATAATGATAAGTCATAAGTGAATTATTGATTTTTTTGGGTTTAACCATTAAAAATTGGGATTAATTAATGAAATTGGAATTAACTCATTTGGTATTCAAATCTCATTCAGTGACCAAATGCAAAATCAGTAGGTGTAAGCTACAGACTACCTCTTTTCAACAAAACAATTTTTTTTCAACTCACCTTAATGTAGCGCATTGCATTTAGAAGTAACAATAGCCAATAGTGATAGCGAGTAGCGACTACCGAGCTACTTTTTTTGGAGAAGTAGATGACGTATATGTAGCGCGAGGCAAAAACCAGCATCGTTCCGACTACTGTAGTTTGTAATACATAAATTATACAGAGTGATTCACTAAGCATGATTATCCTCTTTTTTCTTCAATACTGAAGTTCTTCAAAATCTGATTTTTGGAATTTTTAAATTTTTTTTAAGACCATATTTTCAAATTGTTGACATTTTTTATTCTACTTAAGAGGTAATGCGTAATTTGTAAGTACTTGTAAGCAAGAAAACAAAGTTGAAAAAGTTTGGTTAAGTTCGGGTTACTTCTTTTTAGACATTATTAAGGGAGGGATGACTTACAAATTTTAAATTCTTGCTCACAAATACTTACGAATTGCGCAAGGGATTTTGGCACGGTCAAAAACTTTGAAATGATAGAACGGCTGAACTCAAAAATTCCCAATTTGCGCTTACACGAACTTACAAATAACTTACACATTTTTGACAAGACTTGGACAAAAATATTTACGTTAAGCCACTAAATTCAAGGACCTCTACTTAATGAGTGTACCGCGTAGAGACTATCATACAAACTTCTGATTTTCAAATGAGAACAGTCCTTTTAAAGTGTAAAATAAACAGTGAATAATTTTTCTGAACATTTTAGAGTATCACAATCAAAATTCGTACGAGTAGTTTTTGAGTTATTTAACTGTGTGTTCTAAGGATAAAAGGTACATGGTAATGGATTTATAAAAAATAGTGAGGGGCTATGGTGATTTTACAATCTTACTCATTGATATTAATCCATCAATATTATTACATTTTAAAAATGGCCCCAGTATAAATACTAGATCCAATTATACTTCTAGTTTATATTTTTAAAGTACCTATATTAAAAAATTCTAAAAGGAATATGGGTATATAAAGATATATTTCCGTGATGTGGTTATTAAACCCTCTTTACACTCATTCATTCCTCTCTTATCTTATAACCTATCTGATCTTCTTAGAAATGAGTAGGTATAGTAAGGTTAATTTATGATAACCATAGAATAAATTAAATAGAGAGCGCCGGAGTACGTAAATTTCCGTTTGCCGAAACAAAATTCTGGTGAGAGTCCATATTTAAAACTCAATTTTTCTTAAATATCTTCTTATTGCACATGAGCTGTACAAAAAGAAATTATAACACTAAGATCAACAAATTTCTTTGTTTAATTTTTAATAAGAGTATATGCATTAGATTAACAATACTTGATTTGATTCAAATGATTTATTACATTGATAATATTTTATGAAATAATTGAAAATTTACATTTCATTTTTATAAAGTTTGATGTATTAATCAAACAAAGATTGTTTTGATTTAAGAAACTGTTATTCAATCTAATATGACTTGGTTTGTTAAATCGATAAAATTTTATTGAACCGTTGACTAATTTAAGTTGATGTGGATGAACCACTATTCGAAATTTCAAGTCCATACGTTTAGCGATTAGTATTTGAATTATGTATATAAAAATAACTAAATAATTATCGTGTTATTATATTTTTCACAAACACAATGATATTATATTCAAAAAATCAAAACATTTAGGTTCATAAGTTCTTGTCCATTTATACTACGAATTTATTCACACCGTTCTACGGTAAAACGGTATTTACTCAAACGTTAATAACAATAATTATAGGTATTTGATGTAAATATATATTCTAGTATAGGTAGTATTATAATTTATAATAAATAATAATTAAATAACCATAATATGATAAATGCAATGATTTCTGCAAAAGTTTAACCAATCTACCGTAATACTAATGTAAAATAAATTACTATCATAAAATATAGGAAAGTATAGCACTTATAGTAGTTATAGCAATAATATATAGACGGATAGATCGCCTTCGCTCAGAATCGTTTTCTTAGGTATGCAATGATTTATCTTTGAATTCAAACTTAACTCATACATTGCAGTGACTTACTCAATGACGAGGTAAGCTGTTAGTACCTATACGGCAGTGGTTATCTACTTTCCTACTTTTTACTTAATACATTGAGTAATGAGTAGAAACTAAAAGTAAGATGATAAATTATCATCTGTGGACACAATTTGAGAGACGAACTTGGTGAGAAAGGCATTCGAAAGAATTGGTCATTTCATGGATGACCTAGGCCAGTATAGATTTTAGAGTGTCTAAGCGCATGTCTAAGCACATCTAAACCGTGTTAACGGATTTTCATCATTATTATAAATTTATATTTTATGCAGTAGGTATGTAAGATTACTATTTGTAATTATACCTATTAAAGGTAGGTACTATACTGCAATTTGAAAAAAAACAAGGTTTATTAATTAACTATATGAACTACCGTACAATTTAATGTGGAGGAACTATAAAAATGTGATCTTTATAATATTGTAATTCTAAAAACTGAATAATAATATTATAGAAATGTGTTGTGGTATATTATTTAAAGCAGGTAGGTATACATAAAATACATATTTATTCTGTGTATAATTTCGGTTTTAAAAATGTTGAATGATCAAAACCATACATTTATATTTATTTTTTGGTTGATAAAGTATGTATAAGTAAAGGTACGCAAATAAAAAAAATTAGAAACACGGCTTTAATTTTTTCTCTAGGCTTAATTTATACTAAAAGAAGCAGTGAGAAATCACAGTTTAATAATAATAAAATTAAAACTATGTTAATTTTATTCAAAAAGCCATAAAAAGCGATGTGTCAATCAAGGCTGGATGAGTTTTTATTCAGAAGTGGGTCTTAAATGATTTAATATTGAAAAATGGAACTTATTTATTTTTAAAAACTCCTTCAAAATATTAATATTTCTACATATTTGATAACAAAAAAAACCCATAAATACTGGCGAGATTATGCTTTACATTTTATAAAAGTATATACAAAACTAAATTATGTTAAGTTTTTCATCAGGTATAAAATATACAGTTATTTTCTATGAAAAATAATTAATTTTTATATTATTGTTTCAAGAGGGAGAAGCGGTTTCAAAGGATTCTACATAATATTATTATGTCACATTGGAAACTCCGATATTTGATGTTTTTGTACCATGCGCAGTGCGCACACAGTACTGCAAATAATTATTTAACGATAATCTAGAACAATAAACTTAAGATTACAGAATGTTTTGTCTTGTACGATAAATGTTATTCTCTGTGGTTTTAAATATTTTACTTTTTGTTAGAGAAAAGTGCTCTTTTAAATATAACATTATAGTTAGACATTTTAAACATTTTTTAATTTTTCAAAATGATGTAGTAAAAAAGTATATCTTTGTACAAAATAATGATTGTTAATTGACTGATTTTTATTATATTTTTTAATTAATATAATAAATTACACAAAATTATTTTATTTTATGAACCACACATCATAAAATACTCATTATTTCTGTTGTAGTTCCACGCTACTTTTATTCCTTCCATCCTCAACAATTTAAAATTTAAAATCTATTGTAGTAGCTGTTTGTTGTTTTTTTTTTAATGCTTACCTAAATATATTTTTCGTGATTGATATAGAAACATCCTCATACAAATGTTTGATATAATAATGCACATAATATACCATATAGACAATCTACAATAGAGTATAAGTGTAGTTTTAACTAACACACGTATTATTCAACAGATACAATAAAAATGAAATAAGATAAAATAGTGATGGCAGTGATGCAGCACTGCATATTACTCGTCTTTCAATATCATATATTCAAATATAAAAATCTTTATAGTTTTTAATTTTATTTTCTTAGAAAAAAATATTACTAATTAAATCATATCTTTACATAAAACGTGTATTTATTATTATATAATTATTCTTTTGTGATTTCACTTCAAGTATAGTGTGGACTTCCGAAAAGTAGGTGAGAGCCGTTAGGTGGTGGCGCGTTTTTCCGCTCCTCCGATGTTAGGGGCGCAAAGTAAACTTGGTTGCCATTGGGTGTCTGGGTGTTCTTTCCGTCGCCGTAACTCGTATGGGGCGGTCGTCTCTGAAATAATGCACTCGAATAGTAGATTTAACTGTAGTAGTGTCTTTTAACTTTGATTAGTACCTATACATTCAAAAACGAATCATTTTATTATATTATTGTGACGCATTTATAACACCAGTCTAGGTAAGTTATTAGAGTATATAAAACATTTATTTTGATTTTTTAAATTAACCATAACACTCGTAGGTATCTAATTCCAATTATTTTTTCTAAGTCAATATTTTAATCATTTAATTATTTGTAAATAAACCGCACTAATATGTTATCAAAACAATTAATAACATTTCATTTAAATAACATATAGTCTGTATTATAATTATATATTTATATACCTACCTAAGTGACTCAATTGAATGTTTTACATATAGTTTGAAGTTTTTATTTTTGAAACACTTTATTAATACTTGTTAATTTATATGTCCATTGCATTTAGGTAAGTTTGTTAATTGATTCTAAATTGATTAAAATACATTATGCAATAATTATGTTCACCAATCTATGAATTTTTTATTTTGATTGATAGTTATAATATACTATTTTATGTAACTTTATTCAAGGTGTGTGCTTCAAAAAACTTTAAATATCTTTCAAGTAATTTTATGTTATTGAAATTGCAAACATTAGTTTTAAAATGTATTTTAATTTTTTATTGCATAAAAAGTATAATCCTTTACAAACAACATTTTTACTGGTTCTTATTTTTAAAAATATTGAAGACTTCTTTTTATAAAATTTGTAATTAACGCAGGCAATTTTAGTTTAACATTATACTGTTAGTTTAGGTTTTCAGATAATTTTATAACTATTATTTTTTGATTCATAGTTCCATTAAAATTAAAAATACTCCTAGAAACATCTGATACCAAGATGAGCGAAGTTAAAATAGTGTCTACAAACCACAATCACCACAAGCGACAGCCTATCTGTCAACTGTTTAAACATTTTATCCACAATTTTGAAATGAAATTGTGGTATATTTTTGGTAACCGAACTTCAGGAATAAGAAAACCAATAAATCGTTTGCTTTAAATCATTTTTTGTTATTATTTACTTTGTAAAATGTAATGTATACCTTTATCATGGCAAATGTATTAGTACTTAGTCAAGGGAGTAGGGACTAATAAATAATTATTTTAGTTTTTAACGTGATAAAAGTTTATGAGATTCAAACAATCGTTTTTCACAACTTTTACAAAATTAATATTATACATAATAATATGTTAGGTTATCTATAATTTAATATTTGTATTTTATATAATTACGGAATTTAAAACGTTCAAAGTTCTTATTTATACATAGACATTCAACATTGAACACAGTGTGTTCGACGTTTTGCTTTATAAGAAGTATATTGTGAGGTCGGAAAAAGGTGGTATTTGAACGTAATAATATCTAAGTATATATTATTATGCTTTTAATTTGAAGATTATTGAAACCAAATTACCAAAACAAAACTGAATTTAAAAAATCCGCTATTAGTGTAAAACAATTCATACATTTTATTATTTTGAACTAACATCGATTATATATACTAATGACTATGTAATGATTTTTATCATAGTTTTTTAATTTTTAAATTAAATTCATATATCATACGACTAATAATATTTATCAGTGATTGGCGATTACTTCTCGTTCTAAATTTAGCGGTACTCATAAAATGTACTCGTTTGCATTTTATGTACTATATACAATGTTTAATTTTTTGTTTAAAACTGATGAAAACTAGAGTTTTGTTTAGTATGATTTTTTCAATTCCTAATTTTTGTAACCCATCGACCAATGAGAAAATTCTAACAGGAAAATGGTGGAGAAAGTCGAATAAAAAAATTATACGAATATTTAACATAGTTACGGGGATACCTAATTTTACGACAAGTCACAATGACGTAATAAAAATATATAAATTAATAAAATGTACTGTTTAATGTTTATGTTGTGTTAACGTTTAAATCATAAAAAACGTGTGATACAAACGGTTTTTTTTACCGCTGCAGAGCATTGTTATGTTTAGTCTCTTACACACGCACGTTCCGATTATCAGAATACACAGCTACACTCTGCGAGCACGTAATTATTATGTTACCGAGTATTGGTTTGTATTTTAATATATATGGATATATTATTATGTTTGAAATGTGCCCCACGGCGATTTTCGATTATATGAACACTGCCGGTGATTGCTGCTGGTCGGCTTATGTCACAAACGTGAATAATATTCGCCCCGTGCCATAAACCTATACGCGAGTAGCTTCACAGTCGTGCGATATTACATATGTATATAATATTCGACAACAACGTACCTGCAATCGGTGCTATAATGTTTGTGTGCGTTTTATAAAATCCACACCAAGGAGCGCGTACAACATGACATATTAATTCGCGTTATATTATACACCCCGCAGTGGGTAGAGCCCGTAGGGGCATAATAGTATGGTATAATAGGTATTACGCATTGTAATAATATCATCATTTATGTAGTTAAAATGTTATAGGCGTAGAGGCGCATGGCGGTGACGGCGGAGCAATTAAAATAATATAAAAAAATAAATATATAAATATTAACGAGGTGATAATAATAATAATAGAAAAACGATTTGTCAACACCCCGGGCCGCGTGATGTGTGTTATGTGTTTGATCAATATATAGTATAACATTATTATAATGTGCACAAACACGTAAATCGTAATTCGTAGGCAGTTGTAGGTGGTACACGGGTGACAATTTAATGCGAAATGATTTCGATAGTAATAATAATAATAATATGTTCTTAAATATACGTAGGTACCTACGTCAAAACGATGCTCACTCTGAGTCGTGCCTATACATATATATAAATTTAATAATGATTATATATAGTATATATAATATACGAATTGCGGGAGCCTACCGAAAGTACCCGCCGCGGGCTGATGTGTGTATATATCTTCCTTGCCAGCACGTGGCGTAAATGTATTATATTAATATACGGTCCTTTACACCGGCTTCGCAATAATAATAATAATAATAATAATAATAATAATAATAACATCCTCGACACCGATACATGTACCGTGCAGCTTGTACAGCTTGTTGTTTGATGTTTGGAAAAAATATTTGATATATTTTTATGTTTTGTTTTACTATATTCGCATATATTATAATATAGTACAACCACCTAGTATACAGCAGCTGCACAGGTAGCTTTGTTTGTTATTATTGTAAACGACTAATTTTTACGAAAAAAAAAAAACCATACGTATTCGACAATCGAATGTATACGTCATGTATACATAGGTGTAATATATATTATTATACTATACGGCGGTATAATTATTACATATACAATATCTATATGATGATCGGATCAATACGATATTATATAAACTCTGCACTATACCTCGAATGATTGTTATATAAATTAGCAAATACTTATTACTTATATCTGATTCCATTACGGGTTTTTTTGTCTTTTATTATTATACACTCCGGGTGTACGATATTGGCATACTGGATTTAGTGGTCGTGTTTAGTTTTATTTCGTAAATTATTAGTTGGGATATTGTTGTATTTATAATGGTGTTAAAAACAACAAATACCGAATTAACTTCAATTTCATCATCGCAATAATTATTATTCTTTTGTACGACGATGTATAATATTTTGAATATATTACATCGATATGTATCGCTAAAAGTGCACAATACACATTGTTTAGTAAAAAAATATATTATCGATGGTATTCTAAATAATAGCAGGTGCATACGTTTAGAGACAAACCTAACAATTTTCAGTTTAAAAGTTCTTTAAATTATCAGCTAAAGACTACGATTATTATGGATTATAAACATTAGGTAGGTACTGAATAATGAATTAAAGCTCTGCAGTCTGCATTCTTACTATATTATTATGTTTTTGTTTATTATCTACTATTTATTAACTATCTTATACAATTATATAATAAGATCATGGAGAAGAATCAATTTTACATTCGATGTACCTATATAGGCTATACTTAGAACCAATAAAATGAAAGTTTTTTTTTTAATTTGCTATATCATATTTTTGACGTGTGTATCAAAATGCTATATCTATATAAACCTAGACATTGGTTATTTTATTTGGTCATCATTATTGATGTTTCACTGCCAATTATTTTTTTTTTTTTATTAGGTAATATTTATTCGAGTTGCTTCGGAATATATTAATTTTAAGACAATGTTGTTTTAATATTTCTTTAATTGTATATTTGTATAAAGTGCCAATATTTTATATTTATAACGAGTATATACCTACATAGGTAATTAATCATAATTGAAACTACCATATCTATTCACTATGTTCACTAGCTTATAATGAACTTGAAAACATCGCAATTCATATTTCAAACTGTAACCTACGATTTTAATCAGGTTTAGTGTCCCTTGTTCCTTTTCCCTTATTTATTTTGTATAAGCCTATATATTTTGTAGGTATCTAAGCACTAACAACATTTTAAAAAGTTTTTTCGTACAAATTTGAGATTGAGAAACCTAACACATAATACTCGTTCTTTGAATGTGATGATTTATCAGATTTCAAATTAATATAATGTATTAGTTAATACTATAATTCTAAACTGAAATGTGATTACTGCATCCCGTTTTAAATAAATAAACATTTTCCCAGGAGTGTCATTTAAATTTTTATCTCAGTAGAGCAATTAGTAGCATAACAGATTATCAGTTTAAAAAATAAGTACAAATGTTGTATATAATACAATATATTATGCTCATTTTATACTTAAGGAACTTTCTTATAATATACCAAAATTAGAACAAAAAATTGTAGGCTTTTGAACTTTGTTAAAATGGTTCATTTTTCATAGGTAGTTTTTTATACCCAGCCGATATCTCTTAACTCTTTGGATTTTGGCATTTTATCTAAAATATTTAAATATGTATAAACAGTTTTTTGTGCATGCTGCAGTACTAGTATCAGCATTATTATGAGTATTATAGCGTCACATTAGTAATTAATTAGATTACAATTAACGATTTATAAAATATACATACAATTTATTTTATATAAATAGATAATGCATTGCAAATTAGAATCAGATTTGAATGTTAAATAATGTAGGTACATTAATATTATTACGTCC